TTTACATGAATCTAATAAAAACTCATTTTTCAAAAAATTTGCAAAATGGGCCCTTTTAATGTGAAAGACCCCATATTGTCTCGACTCCTCGTTCAGTAAACCGATCTTCCCATAATTCCACGTGATAACTTCCATCCGCATTTGTAGATAATATGTTCTTTGAGATATTATCACGTGATTTGACATGGAAGTACGTTTGGTTTTGTGGATCTTGTTTGTACCAATCAACAATGGCAAGATAATGACTAGTTGGTATCGCTGAACTTGGTAAAGATATACGATGTTCAAAAAAAAATTTAATGATTCCTGGCCAATTGATTCTTTTTCCATCATCTAATTGCCATCGTGCAAATATATTTGATTTTAAATCAAAGCGTGAAAAAAATGAACTATATGTTTCATCCCCAAGTTTAAGAGCTATTGCTCAGCGGGCTGTTGAAGAAACAAGAATTGATTGTTCTGATTTTGGTGCTTGATTTTCAGTATGAAAGCTGTAATTCATATAGATACTCGAGTAATATTGAAGAAGAAATCTGATTATTTTAGCCGATAGAGTAATCTCATGAAAAGGTCCAATAAAATGACCAGGAAATCGTTCTGAGCCAGTCACAATGTGGTTAATTAATCCACCAGACATTGCACGAAACTCCAATGCTTCCTGAACTGTAATATTATAATGCCCCAAAGTTCCAGTTTTTTTCAACCTTAGTTTGAACAATTGAATCTAATAATAATAAAAATTCTTGAGCAGGTAACGATTGGCTCTGGCCTTAATTTGTTGGATATAAATTTGGTGATTAAAATTCTCAAGTACTTCTAACTCCATATTACGATTTGAGTTAGGGAATAATCCAAGTTCGCTAAGCATAAGTAAATTAGGAGATATAACTAAAGTGAGATAAAATCAATATATAAATATATAAAAAAGAGGATCGTCTAAAGTGGAGCAGAGTCATGTAATATGTGACCAAAGTATCGAATTTTGATGATCGTCAGCGAAGCAAAGCTATAACTACCTAAAACCTAACATAACCAAATATAAAATGACCCTAACTCTAAAGTTAATTCAATAAAATATATAGAATTATAAGAATCTGCTCCGCTTTAGATGTCCTCTAAAAAGGAAATTCTATTCTAATCGAATATAGGAATATGACCAAGATAAGACAGTATTTAAAAAAAATAAATACAACTAACCCATTATAACGCTCATAAGCGAAACACCAGAAGGAATACCATGGTCCAAAAAATCGAAAAAACAAAAGGGTCACCCAAAATTACGTCGATCTTTTTATTAGAGAATTTGATGCCCAGT